GATCTTTGTTCGAATAATTGGCTATCCTTTTTTATTTTGAAGTGACAAGTTGTGGTGTCATGTGTTGTGTTTATGTTTTATGTTTGTCGTTTGTGTATGTAATCCTTCGTTATATTTCATCTTTTTCAACAAAGCGAGTGCTGGTGAACGCGGTCATTCTCACATAAGGAAGACGGGAGTGTGGAGTTGAGAGACGAGAAGAAAAATGTAAATTTAAGTTTCTCCTACCCTACGAGTCGTGCGTCTAAAGTGAAGGTTTTGCTGTTGACGGTGCTGTCTTAAGATTTCGTTGCAACATAATAATTAAAAATTGAAATTATTTTCAACGCGAAAGGAATCTTTGGAAGTAAAAATAGTTTGAATTGAAGCGAAAAATAAATTATAAAATAATAAACATGATCTATCATCTATCATTCAAATTTGAAGGTCGATTTTTCTCTCGTTTTTCATACCACCGTCTATTTGATGTCGATACGAAATTCGACAATAATACATATGAATCACTCTCCATCCGATATCGAAATAGGTATCGAATGACAGCTAGCGAGCCATAGCGACTTGTGACAAGATAAGAATCCCCTAGCTGATACTCCAATATGAGTTGGTGTGACTCCCTACGATTGTACGTCAATGGTCACCTGATCTCACACCTGTTTTTTAACGTATCCTTCCTTCTTTTGCTCCCCATACGGAAAGTGTCGACTTAAAAAAGCTTAACAATATAGTATTCGATGGCCTATCCTAATATTGAGCACAATGCTCTCGTTGAATTTTGTTTAAATTATTATAGCCTAACCTAGTCTAGAGGTCATAAATAAAAAGCAGAAAAATATAATAACAAAAGTTTTATTTAGCAGAAAATTTACAACTTCATAATTTAGGTTCTACGTTCGGGTTTTGCAAAATAATGAGATGGTATCCTTTTTTGTTCAACAAATTGTGAAAATTCGCAAGGCAAACAAAGTCGATTAGGTATATCAGTTTCACCCTTACATCTGGGGCATGTATACTTAATGGGGATTGGCATTGTAAACAGTATCAAGTCTATCAACGTAATGCTTCATTTCAATGAGAAAGTCTCCTGTTATACAATTTTGAAGTTTGATAATTGTTACTAATGTGGCATGTTTTGAATAAACTCCTGTGATAACACTTGGTACTTTGGGAGACTTGGGTATCATTCGAATACTAGCTATTTTGAATCCTATTCGAATCCTGTATTGGAATCCTACGGAAAGAGACCCGATGTCTGTTGAATCAGAAAAAAGTATAGTGCAACTTTGTGCTCATTATTATGCTGCTTTGATATTTCAAAAATTCCGAGTGCTGTCCAGAGATATCCGGAAAACCTCGAAATTCGCCAGAAATGATTTTATTTTTCCAATAACGCTTGTCAATAATAGGCAATCCTCCTTACGCTTATAATCCTTGGTTTGCGTCAATATCGGCGCTTGTCAATAATGGGCACTCCTCTCGACGCTTATAATCCTTGGTTTGTGTCAATCAATAGCTGTCTTTCTCTGTTCCTTTACGTTACATCTTTCTTCTCTCTCGAGTAACGAAATTTGCCCGTGACGCGTTTTTCAAATCACTCTCCATTGTCGTTCAAATAGCAGAAAGCCGTTTAAGAAGTTTCTTTTCAAAAATTATTGAAATGAAAATAATCTTGATACAATTTTGGAACATAAATAAAAGTTGTAGGATATGTTAAGTGTGTGCTGGCGCTATTTGACTGTGAGTTGGTGGTATACAGAGATCAATGGTGGCTTCATCTCTGTCATTCTCAGGAGAATAAAACATAGTTTATACTAAAGCTTATTTTTATTCTCAACAATCATTGCCAATATGGTTAATAGGACTGTGAGTGCGACTACCATCTAAATTGTAGCAATATTCATAATCATAAAAATGAAATACGTCTTTATCGTCACCCTTGAATATTTTTTTTTTCAATAGATATTGAGTATTTAAATAGAAACAGATCCCAAATTTCCGCATACTTTTTTCCTCAACCCATGTTATTTGTGGATGAAATGAATTAAAAATTCCACCACATTGATTGCAGATGTTCGGCAACTCCCATGACGTTACAGGTTATCCTGGTACTGGCAGATATGAATAGGCTTTTAGAGGGTTATGATCCTATTGATACTTATATTTAGAGCTTAAAGTTGTTGGAGCGTCCAGCCTGTAAGAGACATTGTTTAGTATATAACACTGCAATTGAAATGATACACACCGCTTTCTTTTTCCTGGAATTCTGTGAACTTTTTGTTCAGGATGCCTGAAAACCCAAATGACCAAATTTATTTATGAGCAGGGGGTGGTAGTGGCAACCGGTATCTTTCTAGCACTTTACTGAGGCTATTTGGGCCCCTTATAGGCTACTTCCAGTTTCAACTTGAAAGTGGTTGTGTCATATTTTAGTCCTCTATTATGTTATTCCATAGTTACCGTGATTTGTTGAAGGAAAAACCAGTTCTAAAACCCCTTCTTCTCGTTTACGTGTACGCATGTTTGCTGAATTCGGTGGGTCGGTTGCTCAAGAATGTGCGAAGTTAGTTTTCTCATATCCTTGCGCTATTTAACTGTTTGCTCTAAATTATATTTTCGCAAACGCATTTTCTGCTATCCTGGTAATTGTGTCATAAAATCATTCAGTCCTCCGTCCGTCCTAATACTGGATAGGTATGCCACAGCTAATTTCAAAACGTGCTTCACGCTGATAGGGTCCTGCTTTGATGAAAGCCGCTATGTTGCAATTCGGTTCTTGAAAGATGTTTTGACAAGACTAACGTCTTCCTCCTGCTTCACCAGGTGTTGGCTCGGTGCTAGAGACACCGAAGATGACCAACCCATTGATTTATCGGTGCCTCCAAATCGCAATACTCACACCACCGGCATGTGGCTGATATTGAAGGTCCTGAAAATAATTGAATTATATTTAAAAAATTCGCTTAATGTCAACTTACCAGCAAAAGTCTAGCTTGCTTCATCATGGGGGCGGCGGGATCTCCAGCCTTTCGTTTGGACGCTCTCTTGGAGCTGGGTGTTTAGGTGGTGTTGGATAGCCCCCTCTGCTTCAAAAATCCCACCACATTGGTTACAGATCTTGGAAGATGATTAGCAATCCCATGACGTTTCAGGTTATCTCCTTCCTGGTGAACCATTTTGTGCACAAAATTAAAAATTCGCTGTTTATGGAGGTTTGTTTTAAAGTAAATGAAAAAATAAAACCAGTTTAAATTGGTTAAAGAACCTTCCTAAATTTTAGAAAAAGAAATTTGAGTTTTGTGCAAATGTAAGTGAAAAAGTAAATTCAAGTTGCTGCGTAAAAAACTATTGGAATTAAATTAAGAAATAGGTAGGTACTCAGGGTTGTCTGTATTTTTAAAAAACAAACAATATGTTTATGTGTTAAGGAAAATAAAAATAATTCAATAATCGAGGTTTGTGTTAATTTAAAATATGTCTCAGGGCATGATTTATCCTACATCACTTAGATATTTAAAAATAGTACTTACAGTTTTTCGAAACCGACACTTATCACCCAAGAAACCAAACTTTGAAAATCCAGGTTCAAAGTACTGGTACTGGATGCTGCGTTTTTTGTACAAAGAATAAAAATTGAATCCTCATCTTTTACAGGTAACAATAACAATGTATCCACTGAAATTTTGTATTGCATAGGGTATTGGCTCATAAAATGTCAACGATGCTAATTTAAATCTATTCTTTTTAAATTTTGATAAATTGTTTGAATTTGTCACCTTTTAAAATAAAAATGGACATATTAATACCTATCTAACTTAATAATTACGCCTTAAACTAAAAAATTATCTTTAAAATGTGTTGTTGTTTTTCTCGGGCGGCTTCTGCGAATGATCCTGATATAATTCAGATAAAAAAACTGCCGATTAAGCGTTTGCATTTAGCGGTGTTTTTTGTATGTGATACTTCGAAGTTTAAATCGGATTTTATAATAACAAGCTTCTTTCAGTTTGCTCAACCTCGTCACCAGTGGAAAATATAAAATTATTGTACAACAATTAATTTGATTTTAACCAAGTAAGTAAATATCTTATATACTAATATCAATCAACAACAAGACCTGTTTTTTATAGCAAAGGATTGAAAACACTGAGAAAATTACAAGACCTGAAGCCTCATAGAAAGTGAAATTTCCAATATTTTGACAGCGTTTTTTGTATGTTATGTTGTTAATTCGAAGTTTGAATCGGATTTTATAATAATTAAGCTCTTTCAGTCTTGTTTGAGACTCGTCAACAACAATAAAATTATTGCACAACAATTATCATTTTAACCAAGTAAGTGAATATCGATATCGATAGAATTATGGAATATTTTAGATATGGATTTGAAATCAATCAACAAGGCCTGTCTTTTTATAACAAAGGATCAAAAACACTGAGAAAATTATAAGATCTGGTATAAAGTGAAAGTTCCCAATATTTTCTACGATAGAGACCTCAAAATAATTGCAAATCTTTACTGGAACCAATAAACTATACAAATTAAGGTAGATCATAAAACTATTGTACAGAAATTATTATTTTAACCTAGTAAGTAAATATCTTATATACTTAGGTAATCGATACAATTGTGGCATATTTTTAGCTATGGATTTGAAATACTCGTCGAATTTGACGATAACGCAGTGTTGCTCCCAAGACGTACCACCAAAATGATTGGATCATATAAAGCAGTTTATTGATGAAAAATATTCGCTTTTTGAAATCGTTGTCTTAAAAAATGTATGTTTTTAATAAAAAAACGAGGCCTCTTTCCCATCAAACGTTGGTTCCAACCAAGGATAATACACACTACTACTACAGGATAGCCTATCCTCATAAGGCCTGTGTGGAACAAATCCACTCTCTCCCCAACGTTAAATCACCAGTTGTGACGTAAGCAGCATGTTATTTCTCGCCTTGACGTAGGTTGTTTAAACAGCTGATGACTTAGTTATGGTGTCGTAAATGGTAGCACACGAGGTCAATGAGCAATACTGTAGGTGTGTATCATCCTTAAGTTCGAACACCCTCTACCAGGTACAACATGAAGCTAGCTGCTGGACCCTCATAGTTACGTCACCACCACAGCATCCTGTTATAAGACACATCAAACTTGACACATGTACTCTAAATGGCGCCACGGACGTGACCCAGGTCGCTATGAGGTCATCACAGAACCCGAACCATGAATCGAACTTTGCACTATGTACTCTAAATGGCGCCACGGACCCGCACTGACGTAACCCACGTGACCCAGGTCGCTATGACGTCATCACAGAACCATGAAACGAACTTCGCACTATGTACTCTAAATGGCGCCACGAACGTGACCCAGGTCGCTATGACGTCATCACAGAACCTGAACCCTGAACCAAACTTTGCACTATGTACTCTAAATGACTCCACGGACGTGACCCAGGTCGCTATGACGTCATCACAGAACCCGAACCATGAATCAAACTTTGCACTATGTACTCTAAATGACTCCACGGACGTGACCCAGGTCGCTATGACGTCATCACAGAACCCGGAACGACTCAAAACTCCCGCTATGACGTCATGACGTTTGACAGATGACGTTTGACAGGTGACGTTTGACAGATGACGTTTGACAGGTGACGGTTGACATGATGGCGGGAAAACATTTCCCCCCACCCCTTTTTCTGGTACCCATAATAAAATCCGTGGGCCCCTTTTCGGGGGGCGCAGCCCTGTGGGCCCCCTTTTGGGGGGCGGAGCCCTACGGGTCCCAACTACAGCATCCTGTATTACGAACTTCACACTATGTACGCTAGATGGCGCCATGACGTTTGACAAGATGGCGCCGACGATGCATCCACCTTCGTGTCAACGGCGGCGCATCCACCACGTGTCAAGAATGAAAGATTGAGGTTATGGTCGGATTTTTGTAGTCATACCCCTGTTGCTGTACTACTTTTGTGGTTTACCGTTTTTGGTCAGCAGAAGCAGAAAGCAACTTTCGGCATTCTTGAATCCTGCTATTATTATTTTTTTCTCATTACTAAGTATAGAAGGCCCCTTTTCCAAGAAATAGTTGGTTGAATAATATACTAATGCCGTTTTATTTGAAGAAGATTTAATAAATTCTTTAAATTTTGGAACCTTTCGAGCACCAACTTTCAAATCCGCAGTAAAATCCCTAAGTCCGCCCGTGTCGTCGGCGTCGCCAACAAGCAGTTACATCGCGCGCTCTGGATATTCATAACTTTAATCAAGGATAACTAGAAAACTATTTGTTCCAGATGGTTGAATTTTTTTTTAAAAACTTTTTTGATACTTTTTCGTCATATCGTACGCAGATACTATGGCAAAATTCGTTCAAATAAAAAAGTTTCTCGCTTACCGAAAAACATGATGCAATTAAAGTACGATTTTGAGTTCAATCCAGTTTCCAAAAAAAAATTGAGTCACTATGGGATTTAAACTAGCACAGTTATCACCGCTCATATGTCCTCTACCGATTAAAAAAAAAATTATGTTGATAGGTTTATTAGTTCCGGAGTTATTGCGTGGTGGGTTTAAAAAAACACGAAAATAACATTTTGACATATTTGTCACATTTTTTGAGATAAAAAATGTCTGCCCCCGCGAAAAAAGTCGTAATTAGTCATTTTAGATGCACAAGAACATAACCGATCATCCTGTATAGGTTTCATGTGGTTAGACCTCCAAAAAAAAAAAATCGAGAAGGAAGCGACTTTTTCCCTTGTTTTTACTCCACTATAATTGGTTTTTTTTTCTATCCCTAAGCCCAAGAAACTTTCAGATGGAATTATGACAGGGAACGAATCACAACCAACATACGATTTTTATTCAGCTGAAAATTTCAGGTCCTTTTTTACTAGTTTTTCACAATATAAACAACCATAACAAGTGCAATAACTACAAAATCTAAAAGTAGTAATGAAAGGTTTAAGACTTTAGGAAAATAAAACTTCCCCTATTCAAAAAATTATGGCGATATTTCGCGGTCTTCAAGGAGTACGGACAAAAACTGGTCTTAAAAATTATAGCAAGCCTCGCGTTGATGTAACAGGAGGTGTTTTTTTTATTAACCACTCTATGTTTGAGAATTATGTTCTGTTTTACTTAAAACTCAGTTTGAGCACATTTTCGAGTTTTTTGAGAAGAAATGCCGTGGCGACCAATAGAAAACGTTTTGAATTTAGATGAAATACTATACAGAAAAGTTGTTCAGGATGTAAGATTATAGTCGTGTTAAAAATTCTGGGAAGGTAGGTACTATATAAACTTTGACAAAACCAGTATTTTCCACACATTCTTTTATTACTAAAACCAGTTCTACCAGAGAAGCAGTTCATGCTGATACTAAATGGTTACAAGGGGAACGTTCATTAGGAAAGTCCGCAGTAAAGATCATAAAAATCCAAAGAAAGTTATAGTAATCCTTTAGCAAGGACTCCGTCTAACTAAGTTTATTATATTTTAGTTGGTTTCAATCACTTGATGGAAACTAGCGTCACTCATGTGGCTTTCAATTGGTGCTTGAGGAAGTTCGTTAAAGATGTTATCATACACAACTCTCTCTTTTATCGTGGTCGGTATATTTTTACTTATTCCGAAATAAAATGCCATTATGAGTAGGTATCGCTGTAACAGTGATATCACATTAGTCACATTTTAACAAATACCTAACCCTAAAATTTTGAAAAAAAGCAAATTACAATTATTGTGGCTTTATTTCTAAACGAATTTTGGAAATATTGGTATCACACATTGAGAAAAAAATGTCCAAGGTAAATCGAATCCATGGGACCCACACCCTTGTTTCATTAATGGAAAGACGGGCAAAACTGTTTCTCTTTGATATTTGACCCCAAATTAACCTTTTTATTTTTTCATACATTAAGATACCCCAGGGAAAAAATACAAAAAAAAGGGCCATCTGCGGAATGAGGCCGAACAAGCTGAATTTTTGCAAAGACCTTCGTTTTGATGTTCTAATGAAGCCCCAAAAAATCTCATATGCCTACCCTTGTGCGTCTTGAGACATCGAAGGTCAAAGGTCATGAAAATTGGTTTTTCACGAAAATCTCGCTTCCAGTGCATCTGACGTCGAAGAACTCATTACAAGACGTAAAATAATATTTTCTACAAAACTGTTCATACACATTTTTTTCATACGACCAACCGTTTTCGAGATATAGCGTGATAAGGTGAGAGCGCGCATTCAAAATAGGTAGCAAATAGGTAGTACTGTATTATACTGCGGAGCTATAAAAATGTTTATTTATAATAAAATATATAATTAATAATTAATAGGAAAAACATGCATAACATATATACATTCGTTTCCGCACCACTTTTGAAGTAGAATGCAAGGCGGGTTTTTTTTTTGACATGGTATCCCAGTAGGCCTAATTATCATTTTTTGCACTAGCCTTCCTCCTCATCTTCGTCGGGTTCCACTAGCCCTCGATCAACAAATTATCTTGTCATCCCTTCCACCTACCAGTTAAGCAGCTCGACAGCATATCTATCGGGTCTACTACCAAGTGCAGATTTGGCTAGGGAAAAATCCACAACCCGAAGAATGGGGTTGGGATTTAAAAAACGGAATATTAGAGCCGAAAACAGCACTCCTGTCACCTGCCCCAGACGAACTATTAAATACAACATTCTGTAATTGTTAAAAGGGGTGTGGTGCGCAGTGCGGGTGTAGAAAAGTCGGGCTGACGTGCTCCAGAGTTTGTGGTCAGTATCACGGACAGGCATGCCTCAATTCGTCAACAGAGTTGCAAAACATCGAAGACTTCAGTGACCTTGAGTCTAGCCAACAGATATAGAGGAAGCGTCTGACGAGGATAATTTGTTGATTGAGGTGCTAGTGAAACCCGACGAAGACGAGCGAGGAGAAAAAAGGCATGGCATGTGCAAAAATTGATAATGTTAAAAAACGCTTCCTAAGATCGAAAACATGGATTAGGCCTACTGGGGATACTATGTCAAAAAAAAAAAAAAAACAGCCTTGCATTCTACTTCAAAAGTGGTGCGGAAAGAATGTATATTTTAATATGCATGTCATGTCGTTAATTATTTATTATATATTTTATTGTAAAAAAACAAATTTGTAACAATTTTATTATTGAAAGTTTCATTTTCCAGACTAACAGATTAGGAAAAATGCATTTATTATAGCTCCGCAGTATAATACAGTATTACCTATTTTGAATGCGCGCTCCCGCTTTATCACGATATACACTTGGTCAGCAAAATTACCGCACCACTTACTTATTTCTATTTTAATGAGGTTGGAATTGGAACTATGGATTGGCTAACAAACAGTTCTGATTTTTACCCAATTGAGAATGGCTGGGACATGATCTGTCGCCATTTTTAAGAGCTTCCTAACCCTCCTAACACTTTGAATGGGCTTACTGGAGATATTGTCAAAATATGGAATAATTTGGATTAAAGCGAACTAAGGCCCGTAATTTTAACATGAAAAATCGCTGCCGTGATATTATTCAAAATAGAGGAGGAAATACCGGTTATTAATTATTTTTAACTAAAGTAAAAAAAAATTTTTTTTTTGAATTTTCTTGTTTTTTTTTTCTTACCTTTTTTTGGAATTTTATCTTTTGTTAATACCCTTATTAGGTCAGAATAAGAATATATTTAATCAAGACATAAAAATATTTGATCAAAATTATGAAATAAAAAATATTTTTCAAAAATAGTAGTGGTGCGTTAATTTTGCTGGCCAGTGTATTTCAAAAACAGTTGGTCGTACGGAAAAAAATTATGAAAACATTTTTGTAGAGAATAGTATTTTACGTAAGTTTTGGGTTCTTCGACGTCAGATGTACTGGAAGCGAGATTTTCGCGAAAAACTGATTTTCATGTTCTTTGACCTTCGATATCTCAAGACGCACAAGGGTAGGCATATGAGATTGTTTTGTGCTTTTTTAGAAAATCAAAACGAAGGTCTCCGCAAAAATTCAGCTTGTTCGGCCACATTTCGCAGAGGAAGTCTAATTTCTCTGGAGTGGCTTCCTGATAAAAAGATCTCATACGCCCAACTCGATACTATGAATAGTTTTCGAGATACAGGTAGTTTAATGTCCAAGAAATGTACACATTTTATATGCATTTACATCTACCTGTCAGCTGAGCGTGTCGATATCCTGGTATATTATCAGGTAGCAGGTAGTATCGGGTCGGGTCTATGAGAACTTTTTGTGAAGTGAAGATATACCACATATCAAAATTTCATTGAGTTTCCAGAAAACCAAAAACCCATAGGAGGTGTGCGATGTCCTTTGAAAAAATTCAGGAGAGTCACTCATAATTCAAAATTATCGCATCAAATTGGTTATATTGCATAGAGTATTTATATACCCAATTTCAAAAATTGAAGTTACAAAAAAGTTACAGTTGTTACCCTGATCCATCACCGAAAAAATAGTTTTCGTTTAGCTACTCCAAACAGTCGTGAATTGAATGACAGGAGTTTCGTAATGTAAGACGCTGGTCAGCACACTCCCCAGTCAGTAGATCATTTGAGTTCGAGAAAACTAGAGGGTTCTACAGTGATCAACAAGAAATTAAAAAAAAAACGGCGTCAAAATTTTAATTTGAATATCATTATGAAAATCCTGACTTGACACCAACCTATACAGATTTAAAACACCGGTGTCAAATGAAAACAGAAGTCATGTAACTGAACCACAGACATGATATAGGATGGCAGGCTACCCATTCAACATGTCAAATTACACTTTTGCATCTGGTGTGACTGAATCTAGGAAAAGCATTATCTTAAAAATAAAAATAATAAAGTTACTTACTTCGAGCGCTGCAGCCGTGGATGCATCGTGATCGTTTTCAACCGCTTCTATCTGTTTGAATATCTCTGTGCTGATTCCTGACACCTAAAGATAGAAGTATAATATACAAAATCTATATATGTTTTCATTCCTTAATTTATTCGATTGGTAATTTGACATACCTTTCTAAAATCCCCTTGCACGACCATAGGCGGCGGGTGACTGGGCCGGTTGTTAGGGGTAATTGGAGGTGCACGCAGTGGCGACGCCGTGAGATCCAAAGCCTCGCGCCCATTATCCTAGAATAATAAAAAAATCTTAGTTAACAACCCAAAAAGCTCTGGTACCTAATACAACAACAAGAATATTATTAATTTAGAGTAAAATCATTATTTACTGCAATTTAATTCGAATTGAACCTAATACAAAATCAATACAATTAGAATAAATGAATACGGCAATAATGCAATTGAGTTGTGAGTGAAATTTCATTTACCTATTTGATATGGAGGAAATATTGTGAGAATCTGAGAAGTGGCGGTTTGTTTACCGACTAACTATGAACATAATAATTTAAGATACAATTTTAATGAATGTGGTAGAAAATCATAATGAGAAGTGAAATAACAGACCTGAAGATCTAAAAATCGCTGTACATGTAATCAATTATGGTTGGTTGTTATAGGGTGCCACCAAACTTCTACATTAAAAATGCTGTTTTCTAAAGGCGCCAAAGAACCTTTTTATGTGCTTTTTAGAAAACATTCTTTAATGGTTGTGAAGTCCTCATGAAAACCTTTGAGAAAATATGTAAAAACGTTATAGAGATTTTAATTACATATAACATTCTTACAAGAAAATGAGCAGTTGTAGTAGTGCAAGTAGAACAGATAAACGAGACTGTGCCATAGGATTTGTCAGTCTGAGGTAAACAACGAATATTGCCCATAGGTCATGCGAAATTTTTTGCTGGAGTTTTGACGGAAATCTTTTAACTTGGTAATTTTCTTTTAGTTCTTCTGAAAATGACTTTTTGAATATCGAAGCTCGCTGAGTTATAAGAAATTAAAATAATTTTGAAGCTATTATGGATTTTTCTTCCCAAAACCCAAATGTCAAAATAGAGAGATTATACAAGTACCACTTACGAGAAGTTCTGCGTCGACGTAAACGTAGATTTATGTACGTACGGGATGCGTAAACTACCACAGTTGGTCACTACCAATTTATCCACCAAAATGCTGATAATGCACGCACTAACCTGTTTAAGTCGCCAAATACGGGACGAAATATCATGATAACCTAGAAAATCGCGCCGTTTTGTAAAACACCAAATAAGCAGGAAACTAGAAGCTATAAAAAAGAAACGTTTATTCAATGCCTCCCGGTCGCATGAAGCAAAACACGGTTTCAATAAAGGAATGAGAGACTTTATGTTTGGACCAAAACTACACAAGGGCGCAACCACGGATTTAACATAGGAAGGTGGTATTTAAGTATATTGTATATCGGTCCATTTAAACTTAGTAATCTGTAGTCGTCTCGAGTGCAGGGGAGACATGTCATGTCATGTCAAGTCAGTGTTCAGTACCATCCAGAATGTAATACGAGACCAAATCGTTAAGTTCATTGTAGTATTATATTGATTATATTAAAGTGCCTAAAAGCAACATGTATTGGATAAACATTAATTTAAATCCTATATTTAAACACCTACTAAGCGATTTATTTCAAATTCCATTGCTGATATTTGCTTTCAAAAATGAGCAGACACTTTTTGACAAACATTTTTGGCAATGAATATGTTATAATATAATCCCTCATTTATCGAAATTTATTAAGTATAAGCAGATATCTGGAACAATCTTTTTTTTTAGTTTGATTCTTTCGAAACGCTCACAATCACCCTCAACAATAACCTGCTGAGGTCCATTGAAGAACTCACATATTGACAACCAGTGGATAAAATATAACAAACACGTGAATATGACGTATGAAAAATTAATTAGAATCGATGAAAGAAAACTTGATGATGTAGATACAACGGATTTCCATTTAATAATAAAAAGACAAGAAATTCGATGGTTTATAAGAAAAATATAAAAGCCCTCTGTGGGCGCAGATAACAAAATTCAAGGGAAAGCCCAGTAACCATTTAAAATTGTATAGTTTATTTCCCATTGAAGGGGATTAATATTTTTCACATAAATTTGACAAGCATAGATGATTGGTTATTACCTATTATAGGTACATAGGTAATATGAAAACATGTAGGTAAAATAAATAACATTAACAAATTAAAACTAATTGGTTTTATCAAATTTTGAAAAACCTCAGTCCTGTAAATATGCACGTTCCCTACCCTGCCTACTATACGAATGTCTAATTGCTTGTAAATTGTAACGTAGTAACGTAGTAGTATATCAATCATCAGGCATAGAGTCAATAAGTAGTAGTAGTAGTTCATTCATGGACTAATTAGAATGTATTCAAGTGCAAGAAGAATATGCCCTATGAGCAATAAATCAATTTTGTTAACATTTAGCTAAAAAAGCATTTTCCAATGCATTTATTAAGCTCTTTAAATAAATATAAAATTTCGGCAAGTTTGACGTTTGCCTCGAGCACACTCAGAACGTTTTTAGGCTAAACCGCAAAGCAAAATGCAAGTTCCTGATTCTATACATGAAAACGTGACTAAATTAGCAGAGAAATTGACTAAAGCCTGAACACAAATAGAATGTTGGTGTCATTTACCTTTTTTGTGAAAAAGCAGCCTTTGCCATTTTTATCACACATTAACTAAATCAACGTATTTATTTCGCGGCCGCTTAATTTTGCCTACCCGGTTATTGATCTCCGGTTTGTTAGGCAGCCGAACGGCAGGAGGATGCGCGCGATTTTACTACGAGCCAGTCACTATTGGTCCGACGACAATACGCGCCAAAACCAACGGGTTAATTGAAGTTTAGGCCTTAGAGCGTAGAGCGTAAAGAGGCTCCTGCAAATGAGCGCCTCTAGGTTCTACTATACGCAGCCAGGGTTGTCACATTTCTTCGTTGGCGTTGGAAAATTGGGGCTTTATTTTGTCAGTGGGGTGTAGCTGTTTGCAGGAGCTTATCCAATAAAGCACCCTGCCATGACTTTTTATATTTTAATTTGTCAAACTATCTAGGTACCTACTTTTTTTGATTCAATGGGTAGGTACTTGAAAATATGTAATGCTGTTTACGAGATAAATTTAGATAAACTAGACAACTATCATGTATTTTTCTTAAAAACGATGGATCTAGAATGTTATATTTTTGAAAAGTGTGATGTTCACCGAATTCAATGGGTCATAAAATTAATTAGTATCTATTATGTTGTCCGTATGAAAGAAATGGTCGATTACTGGGAAAAAATACATCATATAGAAAATTTCAGATTTTGGAGTGATTTTCCACCTAAATACTTTATGAGATGTTTTTTTTTGAAAATCAAAAATTATTTTGATAGGATGTTTTCTCAGAAAAAAAGGTAAATTACATAATGATATCGTTAATGCTGGAGGTGACAAAGGACCCTGCCCAAAGTATACGGAAATTGTGTTTATGTCAGAATTGGCTGAATTTTGTATATAATGTAGATCACGCCTTTCTAATCAAAAGTTACCATTGCACCAACCCTGAAAAAAGACTCCACATAGCACACCACTGCGCCACAAGCTCACTTATTCGTACTACATTCAACGTCCATTACAATGTCCAAGCCTTTTACTTGCTACCTATGAAAGTAATTTTCTCAAAAAGGAGTAATTTTTCAGGATTGGTACAATGGTAACTTTTAATCAAACGCAATTTCCGTATACTTTGGGCAGGGTCCTTTATCTCTTATAGTAATGAATGATGAACAAAGTCACTAACCCAAACTAAAATTAGTAGCTGCAGTCAGTTCAAGTCAATTCAGAAAAATCTATGTTATTGGTTTTTCGGTCAGTTGTCACTGACTTCTCTACAAGCAAATCCTGAAACCTATGCGACATCCAAACCTGCGGGGATGAAGAACAAAGAAATCCAATATAGACCTTGATATTGTGATTCTTAACAAAATATCAAAAGTGCCTATCGATCCGATTGCCGCTAAAAATTTTACGCGGAGGCAAAGGTCACAAAAAACGATTTGCGCGAATATCTCGTTACGGCCAATTTTACGGAAAAAATATTTGTAGCTTTAGGAAGTTTCATACAAACAAGAAAATCCTACCTACCTTTTTTTGGTTATTAGGTACACCTCAATGCAAATTTTCTCGATGTTGGAAAGAATTAGTACATGCTTACAGATTTTAGTTTTCTGAGAGTCTATTTGAACCTACCTAATTATTTGATCAAAATGCTTTTTTGCCTCGAGTTTTATTTTGATAAAAGAATATAAGATTCGGCTGAAATGTCTTCTGGAAACGGTGTACTGACGTTCCTGCACCAAATCTGCCACTGTTGGCAAAACATCGGGGTTTTGGGAGGAAATCGTTCGTATATTAAATTTGTTTCAGAACTCGAACTTCTGCTATCAAACAAATTACCAATTTGAATAATATAATGTCAAACTTTTATTATGTTTGAAAGGGGTGGTGTTTTATGAGAGTTAGATTTTGTATTTAATCTTCAATTTACCATGATTCATCTCTAATTTTAGCATAATAAGCTAAGTATTGTTGAATATTGTGGAATATGAAGCTACACATTTTCCGTCATTCAATAAAACTAACGGGCTTTCTTCAATTTAACGTTTTTTAGAAAAAGGTTTCTATGACAAAATACTGAGACGTTCCAATTAATTTGATGATTATTGTCCAAAGTACGTTGGAATTTGTTTGATTTGTAAAAGGTTCCTGTTTTAAATGTAGTTCTTATGGTCCTTGATACGTTTTGAAAATGTCCCAGAAGTTTCACCAATATAGAATATAGAATTCATTAAATTGAATACATGAAAGTATATAAATTACGTTTTTAATAATACGTTCAGTTTCATTATTTGCTTCTGTTGGGTAAATGAAAAGTTTAAAGATTGGTTCAGGTGGATCTACGTTTGGTCTAAGTTTTGTTTGTTCAAAGTTTGTTACGTATGAATTTGTTTATAAATGGTTCAGGTTAGTTTATTTCTGATGTATTGTTTTTCTTCAGTGTAATAATTATTGTAATAGATGCATATTGTTTGTACTCTGTCCTAAGTTTTCATCCACACCTGTTTTTACCATGATGGGGTGATTTAAATTAAAATTTGAAAACTTTTATGTATGTTGGATATTTGTAAATTGCCG